TGTGGGATTGCCGGAAAAGAGAGGGGCACCGGGGACCCCCCTCCAGGAGTGGCCCACGTGGCGATCTCTTCCCCCCCACACACACCGATCACCACTTCAGGTATGGGGCAACCTGCCCCTTGTGGCCCCCAGGCCCCCTCCACTCACATCTCCTCTACAAGCCATAGATTTACAACGGGACAGACTTTTCTCCAAAGACAGAAATCTGAAATGGCGGCATTTTCATAAGTGGAAACAGCAGGGTCTCATGGCGCGGTGACATTTCACAGGCCGAGCAAAAGTACGCCCAGCCAGACCAGGGGTCCCCCGAGGGCCGTTTCTACCTGGCCTGTACGCTTTTAATGACTGGCAGCGGTGTGTGTGTGCGTGTGTTGGGGGCTGAAAACAGAGCAAACGAGACCACCGAGCAGACCTTCCAAGGCTTACCTACAAATTCGGGGGTCCCAAAAATATTCTTGAACTCGACGCCGTCCTCTATCTCATGGGCCAGCCCAAAATCAATGAGCTTTATGTGCGGAATGGGGATGTTCTTGTCAAGCAGCATGATGTTTTCAGGCTTACAGGACGGAAAACAAACAAAAAAAGACAAACACACAACAAGGAAACAAACCATCAAGGTGGGTTAGAGTGGCCCGGAAGGAAAGCAGCAGTCCTCTGCTCGATTCAACCTCTCAGTATAAGTGGGACTTCAAAGAGCCAAAGCAAAGACTGCCTTGTAATTAAGCATCGGCTTAATTGGACAGCTTTCCTCCAGGGCTTGCATGACAACCTCTAGCCACCTGCGAAGAAATCTGTACTCCAGGAGCTTCCAGAATGGAATAAATAGAGAAGTTACTTTTCCCTGCCCTGCAGGAGGACCATTGCTCCTAAACCCCTCGCCCCATCTCGCCCGTGGGGGATTTTAGGAGAGGCTCTCCAACAGATCATCTTTTTGATGTGGTGACAGAGCCATCGTGCGCATTCTCTTTTGTCTGCGCAAAACAATTGGCGGTACCTGCAGCTGCCGAAGGTGACCCTCCCTTCATGGCAGGGCTGACATCCTCTGCCCTCGGCTTCACAGTTGAGTCATACATGGGTTGGGTGATTTAAAAGGGACAAACAAGTCAAGCCTGCAAATTATCCAGAACTCTTCTTAAGAGAGAATAACATCTGGAGTTAGGGAAAGCGATAAAAGGTCCCCCAAAAATCTGGCCAAATTTAACAGCGGACAGACTGAACTGCACAATGGAGGCTGCAAGATCGGGGAGGGGGGGCAAAGGTGTCAAGATATGGGTTTACCATCTCTCTCTTCTTATAGACAAAATTCTATTGTTTTTGGATTTAGGGGGAAGAATTGGGGCCGTGTTTGCTTCTGTCTTATTCCCCTCCCTCAGTTTATGCCCTCTAAACCTGGAGATGTAGGCCAGATGTAGCACAAGCAGTCAGGGGCTATAATGCAATGTCTGACCGCATAATATCAATCAGACTCTGTGGAAAACCTATCAGCATAAGGAGCATTCAAGTCTAACTACAGTTGCCGAAAAGGATAAAATCAAAAGTTTTTGTGGAAGCATGCAGAGGGAAACTGATCACACACCAAAAGATTACATGTTTATAATCGTAAGTGTGCTCATTCATAAGGTTGCCGTAAGTTGGAGGCGACATGACAGCACGTCACAACAACAAACCTGAAGAACAAGAAGGAGCCTTGTATTCATAATTCTTTAGTGATCCAATTAAAGTGTAGCCTCGACCCAGATTTTTATTCTCAAACCCAGTTCCTGAGCCGTTGTGTCCACAAGAGGGAAACCCTGGGGAGAACAGCTGCTCTCAACCCCACCTGCCCCAACCGACAGGACGCTTTCCTCCCCCACGGGCGGTTCCAATCCGTTGTTCTGACTGTTCGGTGTAAAGTTTCTGTTCCCGAAACAATGCAGCTGCTACTGGGCCCAGGTAAGGAAATGCCAGCGGTGGGTGAGGTAGGGGTGGGTGGGGAGAATTGGCAGCAACAATTCAAGCGGGCCGTGCTTGTTTTATTTTGGGGAGCATGGGGGAGAATGTTCTCTTCCACCCGCAACACACCTGCCCTTGCAGAGGGAAGAGACTTTTCTCCACCACTGCGTCGGTCACAGCAAAGCCAACGGTGGGAGGGATTCAGACAGGATGCAACCCAAAGAAGCCACGGATGCTTCGAGGGATAGGGAGCATCATCCTCACTGATCTCCCAGGTTCAGCTGATGCTTTGGTTGCCAGGCTGCAAAACATAAGCCAGGCAAATCTAAACGGCCGGCAGTGGCTTATTTTATTAAGCAACGATCCCTGGGTTTCTTCAGGGGCTCCCTCGCTCTCTGCCCTCACCTTTAGATCGAAATGGGCAATCTTTCTGGCGTGCAGGTAGTGGACGCCGTCCAGGATCTGCTTAATGAAGTGGGTGGCTTCTTCCTCGCTCAAGGACTCCTTCTGGGCCAGGAAGTCGAAAAGTTCTCCGCCAGAGACTCTGCAAAAGGGGCGGGGGGGGGAGACACACACACATTTGGAATGAGCGACGGTGGCCTTGCAAGGACAATAAAAACGTTAGCATTTCATGGACTACTAGCCCATGACAAATTCAAGGTTAATACAAATCTCTGTACATGCCACATTCTCTTTCTGCTTCCTGTTCGACCCCCTCCAAAAGAGAACACACTAAAGAATGACCAGCAAACCCTCCTTTCCCATAGATTTCCGCAGGAAAGTCTCCACATACTCTAAGGTCAGCCCATGGGGGTGCGCCTGTCTTTGCAGAGCCGCCAGGATCGTGCTTGGGAAACGCATTGCAGGTATTGACCCCCCCCTCCCAAGAAGGCTTTGAGATCAAGTGGCTTGCAGTCACGGCCCACGGATGGCAAATGTTGCATCCTGCTCACATTACGTCTCTTTATGGGATCACAAGGGCAGCTAAGAGAAGCCATGAAACGATATAACCATCAACTCATGCTAAGCACAGACGAATTCTCCTGTTATGTTGGTACTTTGCCAGCCATAGGTCTCTTATTTAGGGACTTAGACTTAAGACAAAGGCTGGTCTGTGTGTTACAGTTTCATTTTCTAGTGACACCGTTCTCTGTTTCATCACCCAGCCTCTTCCAATGACCAGCCTGCTGCTTCTCTTGGGCCAGACAGACAACGGCCAAGCACCTTCAGATCTGGCTTTCTGGCAAAGACAGTTTATTTAGGGACTTAGACTTAACACAAAGGCTGGTCTGTGTGTTACAGTTTCGTTTTCTAGTGACACCGTTCTGTTTCATCACCCAGCCTCTTCCGATGACCAGCCCGCTGCATCTCTTGGGCCAGACAGACAACGGCCGAGCCCCTTCAGATCTGGCTTTCTGGCAAAGACAGAACACTAGCAGACGGGCACTTTCCGGGCCTGAAGGATGGGCAAGGCAACAGGAGGTGTGACAGAGGCACAACCCCAACTAGACAACTTTTACACGTGAAGTTGTAAAGAGTTTAGGACCATGGACTTCCTTTGCAGGAGCGCTTCTGTGTTACACCCAGGCCTTCCACTGGGTGGCTCCCGGCACCGCCGCATGGCAGGAATCGTCTGCCCGTCCTGGAGAACGCCTGCAGGCTTGGAAAAAGCCAGGATTTCAGAAGTCACATCCCAGATTTATTTCCAAGGGCCAGAAGGCCTGCCATTCTGTATTTCAGGAGCTCAAACTTTGCAGAAGAACTAGGCTATGGTCATAAGGGTCGGCATTCCCCCACTAGAGGTTAGTCCACACTTTTGTCAAAGACAGAACATAGACAGTTTTGTTAGTTCTTCTGCAAAGTTTGGACCTACTGAATATAGAATTCTAGAGTAACACAAAATGTCAAGGTCCAGAAGAAGGAGCCATGGTCAGATTTCGAATCGAATTAATGTTTATGCTGTGTGAACAAGAGAGTGGGGTGCCCAAAACACACCACTGTCTGCAGGTCTCTCAGGCAGCCACCCTGCTCTTTCCAGTCTGTGCTTAAACAGCCTCAAGCATATCCTGAGGACTAGGAACTTCAAGTTTTTTTATATGTTGAAAGAATGAATGTTCCTGTGTGAAAACGCAGTAGAGGTACAGGGCCTGCTCTCCCCCCCCCCCCCCGGACACTCCTCCTTACAGCTCAAGGATCAGGACCACGTCTGTCTTGTTCTCGTAGACGTCGTGCAGCTGGATGATGTTGGCATGCAGAATCTGCTGCAGGATGTTCACCTCCCGCTCGATCTCCTCGCGCCTCACCCCGCGGCGGCTGGCGCGGCTCTGCCGCTTCTTGATGAACTTGGCCGCGTATTCCATGCCCGTGGTCTTCTCTCGGCATTTCTTCACAATTGCAAATTGACCACTGGGAGGGGGGGGGAGAAAAAGGCATGGTGAGAATCCGCAACGCACCAAGTCCGTAAGAGAGACCGCCTTGGAAGACTTTTGCCAGCGTTGCACCCCTCGCAGCCAGAGACCTAAACCACTGAGCTTACGAATTGACCACTGGGAGGGGAGAGAAAGGCATGGTGAGAATCCGCACCGCACCAAGTACGTAAGAGAGACCACCTTGGAAGACTTTTGCCAGCGTTGCCCTCTTGCAGCCAGAGACCTAAACCACTGAGCTTACACTAAATATTACTTGCACATTTTTTTAGTGTGCAAATGCCTTTCCTTTTCCTTAAAGTCTTTGAAAAACGGGCCAGCCCTAACGGCTGCACCAGGACAGAGTCTCCTCTCCTCAGCCCCCCCACAAGCACAACACTCTGCAGGACGGCGTGACTTCCGACCGGCATCTCTGCTCCACAGCCGGCTAGACCGACGTGGCCACAGCTGCCGGGGGGTGTGTGTCACGATCACTAAGTTTAGCGCTTCCTTTGGGGTTCAGAAAGAGGAAACCCTCCGCCTGCATGAGTCACATCAAGCAGAGAGACACAGCAGGTTCAGAGTCTCGCTTTTGCATGGGGGGGGCGAGGGCGGAAGGCCCCTCTCGGTCCAGGTGTGAAGCGATCTGCCGGAAGAGGAAGGAAACCAAACATTCCGCATCAGCGACGGCCTGGGCGAGGGTCACTCTGCAGCTTTCCTGCCCCCTTTTTCCTTTAGACTCCACAAAGCAATGCCGTTTCAAGACACAAGGCACCTCCTGCGCTCGGGACCCTTCACTCCTGAAGGGCGGAAGCCAAAGAAAAGGAGGCCAGGAAGTCAAGTGGCTGAAGGCATGCCAGGCTCCGGCTTTCATGTTGCCACGGCCAGAGTCCCACAGCTAATTTGCACCGGGGAAGAAAGCAGAGCTGCCCGGTCCTGCATGGCAAACGGCAGTTCCTGAAGGAGGTGCTGGCTGCACTCCTGGAGGTGCACCTGGCTGCGCGATGGGGATCATGCACCCGAGAAGGCAACCCTCCCCTTTCCTTAAAGGCCTTGGAAGCAAGCTGCCATGGAAGTTTGTGCAATCTCCCTTACACAAGGGTAAATCAGCAGCAGGAGTCTGGCCAGCATTTATAATGTCACGCCGTCAAGTCAACTCTGACCTGGGGTGACCCTTTCTAGGTAGAGTGTACTTGGCAGTGGTTGACCCTTCCCTTCTTATGGGGTTGCTCTGGGACCACGGTGCAGCTTGCCCCAGGCCACCCAGGCTGGCCCTTCCCCCTGGAGGCACAACGTGGAGAATCAAAGGCCCAACCTCCGGCTCCCCAGCCGGATATCTAAACCACGGAGCTCCCCAGCCAGCTGGTCAGTTTTTATGTCACCTTAAATCTACTTCCAATACGTCTGAGCATGACGAGGCCCTTCTGCAGAATTTCAGCAAAAGGGTCAAGAGGATCTTCTGAACGCAACCTTCCAAGGGGAAGAGCGTAAGGGTGAGCACGACAAAGGGCATAATCATCCCCCATCGCCTCTGCCAGAGGTAGAAGGGAGCCGTGTGGAACAGAGGGGGCTCTGTTGCCCAGCATGACAGAACAGCCAGGGCAGCCAGAGAAACCGCCGGGAGCCCACAACAGCCCCAGAGGCGGTTGCCCCCCTCTGCCCGATGGCCAGGCCGGTCCGGACGCAGGCGTTCTGGGAGGGCCCCAAGCCTTAAGGGCAGCCCAGGGGAAACAGCGGCCGTGTGCCGGACTTCCAAGCCTGGTCCAAGCGGAAATATTTCAGACGGCAAAGAAAAATCTTAGCCCAGAGCCTCGCTCTCCTGGAGGTGCCATTTTTCCAAATTCGGGGAGACGGAGTTTGGGGTTGGCTTGCTCCTTCAAACACAGTCCTTGTCTTACACCCTGCGGGGGTGAGTGGGGGGTGGGGGAGAGGCTGGTGCCCCACAATCGGTCGGTCAATCGGTCGGTCGTCTCTCAGCACAAGGGCCTCCTTCATTCCAGACTGATTGAAATTGCAGGCTTTTGTTTACAAGCTATGGATGGGAAGAACTTTCCATATTATTGCACACACATTTCTAGTTTGGTAATTAAGGGATGTGGACACACAGGTCATACGTGACACGGCCTATCCGGCAATTTTTATCCAAGGTTTCCTCGTGTAATGTTGTAACGTTGACAGCATTGTATAATTAACTCCCAAAACCACAGCCTGGAGTCAGATCTCAAGCCTCTCACGCGTCTATAGAAGTCCAGGAATGCGGAGATAAAGCTCCCGCTTGCCCCCTCACGTGCCCTGGAATGCTGAAGGAGGCCAGCGGGGCCCCTCCGGCACGGCTAATTTTAGCGTTGTGATTGCTAACTTGCATCTGGTCATCATCCCCAAATTCCTTCCTTGCCACTCCATACAGGAAAGAGAAGGACCAATGGAAATGGGTGTGCGTGGGGGGGGGGGTTTCTGCCTAATCCTGATACGGTTTGGGACATGCCTAGGAAAAATGATGGTTCCCCCAACTTTCCATATCTTCACATTCTGCCAGTCACTCCACCAAGCAACTCTGACTCCCACCATACTCGGAACAACCGAGACGTTTCCCCAGATCGGAGAATTCACACCATCACAGAACTGTGGAATCTGAAAGGAACGGAAAGGTCATCTAGACCATCCCAAGAGGCATCAAGTCCACCCATTCCCAGTGCAGGAATCCAAAGATAAAGCACGCCCGTGGATCACAACCGTTTGGAAACCTCCAACGGAGGAGAGTCTTCCCTCTTCCATGGCACTCCAATCCACGGTCAAACATCTCTTAACACCTGGAGGCTCTCCTGAATGCTTAAGTCAGAAAGAATCTCCATTTTGTAACCTAAACCATGCAATTCGGGTCGCACCCTCTGGGAAGCAGGAAACAAACCCTATTTGAAGATTAGCTGTCATGCCCACTTCTCCCTCTTCCTCTTCAACCGTTCCTCATACACCTTTAATTTCCAGAACTTTTACCCCCTGTGTCACTTTTAACCACTGGGTGCGTTCCAGTTTGGGCTGGGCTGTCAATGCCCTTTATAGGCTTACAGTTGTTCTGTTACTCTGTTTACCATTTACACTAAGATGAGTAGGCGAGAACGCCAGGAGGGTATGAGAAGCCTCCAACCATCCAGAGTCCCTGTTACCATGCCCGAGGGCCATTGTTGCATAACTGAAGGGTAGGGTTAGGGCTTATAAGGAGAGGGACGGTCACCCTTGCAGGAGGAGGTGATGGGGGAAGGAGGAGAGCGGATTCTCAGTAAGTGTTAAGGACACATCATGTCGCAACCAGACTGTGTTCCTGCCTTCCACTGGTGACAACATTGACGCCTGACTGAGAAAGGTTGTGTTTGAAGACCTGCCATGCTTTGGTACGACCTTTCCGGAATCCTACACCTCCTTTAACCTGTGTCCTCGGGCGCACTCCACCCAGCGGTGTTAGGAATACTTCAGTACTATCAGGAAGAGGCCATCATCCTCCACAAGCTCTTGCCCCCACAGACATCTCCTAACATCCACTTGCCCAAGGTGACTGCCACACTCCGCCTCATAGGAGGGCTGGCCCCACAGGGACACTCTGTGACAGACGGAGCCTTTCCCAAGATGGAGCAGAAGAAGGGGTCGGGGGGGGGAAGAAGAGTCGATATAGGTGAGGTTGGTGTGATCCCACCCACATTCCACCCTCCGAGCATCTCTGGTTAGGCAGGAAAACGCAACCTAGAAAACGCCCGTGGAATGCCAAGGTGGCAACCAGACGCTCTTTAAGAACCTCTTCTATAGAGCAGGATCATGATGGGCGACAAGAAGGAGCGTTTCAGAAGAACGAGGGCCAAGAGAGGGGCTGTGGAAGCCGTTGACTGAGCCCTGGGCGGTTCTGCAAGGGAACTGGAGACAGGATCTCCCCAGAGGTCTCAACTCCAAAGAGCACCCCAGCAGTTCGAAACCAGAGAAAGCGAGCAAGGAGGGGTCCGTCGGCTCCTCAAAGAGCTTTCCTCTTCCTCTTCTTCTTCTTAGCTTGAAATCTGAGAGAATGGGATGAGAAGGGCAGGACAGAAGCCCGGGAGGTTTTGCGGCCACCTGTCGCCCCCCCCGGCCCCGTTTCCTTACCCACTGACAGACGGACAAAGGACGGGGTTTGCTTATGCCATACTGTGTGACGCATGGCGCCAGCTATGCAGACGCTTGCCAACCTGAACGCAATGATCTCGAAAAGGAACTCCCGGGCACTCGTTCCCTCTGCCACGTCATGTTTATTTTGTGCCCTCCGTCTCCCCCAGAATGCCTCGGTGGCCGTAAAAGACCGAGCACTCCAGGGAACTTGCGCTCGCTCTGAAATGCCTCCTCCTCCCTGGCTTCGTATACCTAGGTCCCCTGAATGTTTTTTTGTACTCTCTTCTTTTAGGCCATTTTGAAGGGTCAAAGTCTCTCAAGAGGGGCAGGGTTTGGAAACCCGTTTTGTGTCGTTTACCACAATTTTGCTTCCATTGCTCTTTGGGTGGACTGTGTTGAAAGGGCGAGTGGCCCTTTGGCGGCTTAAAGACTCATGAGCGGCATTTGGCAGAAGCCTCCGTAGTCCGCGGCAGCAGCCTCGCTCGCCTTAGCTGCTTCAAAGGCAGAGGGCTGGCATCCTCTGCAAAGTCCGGGAAAGACCTTCTGTGCTCCTTGCGGTGAGCGATGGTGAGCAAAGGCTGCGACAGACTTTGCAGAAAACTCCTCTGGTTAGTTGCTTAGGCCAGAACAAAAGGATAACTCTCAAAAATGCTCCAAAGGCACCCAAACGCTCTCCCTCTCGCTTCCTCTCTTTCTCTTTTCAGCCCAGGTAAGGACTGTAAAAATGCACGTTGGGAGAGTCCGGCCCCCAACCTGGAGCAACGGAGTGAGGTGTCCCTGGGAGAATAAAAGGATTAAAACTCCCTCCACCCGTGGAGTTCAACTCCAGAGGGATCCCAGCCATCAGGTCCTTCCTTGGCCAGCCGCTCTCCTCTCTCCGCCAGCATTGGGGTGTGTGTGTTTTCCTCTGGCTGGCAATGTTATGGGGCATGCGCTCACCCAGAAGGTGATGTGCAATGCACGGAAAGTTCGGTCATCAGGACCTGGGACGAACCGCAGCCTTTTTAGGGATGGCTGAGGTGACGCTCCCCGATCTCCTCTCCCCACGTCACCCTCCTCAGCCGGAGGTGTTGCTGCCGGTTGCTCTTCCCGTCAGCTTTATGACCACAAAGCCAGAATTAATTTCCTCCTGGGCTCCAGTCCCTGCACAAAGGCACCCTTTCACTAAAGATAGAAACTGAGTTAAGGCAATTATTCCTGGAATGGCAAGGCCGGCCGGCAGGCAAGCAGCTCGGACAGGACGGCTCCCGAGGAGGGGCTCCGGCGGTGGGGAAGCCCGTGGCCAGCTTTTCTGCAGGGGGGGAAGACGGAAGGAAGGCCCTCAAAGGGGGTGCCGTGGGGTTTAAAGGGGGGGGTGGGGGGTACAGCCACAGCTTGCAAATTGGCAAAAAGCAGAAAACAAATGGGGAAGAAAGGGAACATCCCGCGTTATTAGGCAAGCCAGTAGTATTTATTAGCGGGCACGTGAGAACTAAAAGAGTCCCATCAGTTTTCACGTATGGGGAAAAAGGGGGTGGTGGTGGTGGAGGGGAAAGCCGCCTTGATTCTGAGGGCCAAAATACACATTGGAAGCCAAAGTTCCCTCAGGAAGCAAAAGATAACTATTTATTCTAGCACGAGCTGGCCTCACTCTGACCCGTTGCAAAACAACTGGTGTTTATTTTGTGATTTAGCAGCACGGAGACACAAGCCCGCGTCTCATCCATGGGTCTGATTGCTCAGGCCTGGAGCTTTGGAGACATGGCATACCTGAAGGGAAAACCGACTAGCAGGAAGCACACCTTCGGCTCAGGGTGTGATCCAACCTTTAGAAAGGGCAACCCAGAAGAAGAGGAAGAGCAAGTCATTTCAGGCGCAAAGACCTTTCAGTGACGTAAAGAGAGGGAGTCCTGGCTAGGGCCCTTCTTTGCCTGATGGAAGGGGACTGGACAATTCCTGAAAACCTCGGGGGTCCAGACAATTGGCAGAACGGCCATCATTGGTTCTGGAGAGAAAGGGGCTGTTTTGCATTATATATTGTTTCTATTACAGTATTTTTAAGCCTCTGTTTTATTTTCTCTGCAAGGCCATTGGAACCTTCTGTTTGGAAAAGACATCCAAGAATGATAAGCAGGAGGAGGGAGAGGAGGAGGAGGAAGGCAGGGCCAAACAGGCACGATAGAGGGGGGGGGAACCCCAAATGCTGAGCCGGTCCAGCGCACCACCCTCTGGTTCACACCACTCTCCGAAGCCACCACCAGGCCAACCCCCCCCCACACACACACACACAGGACTTGGTGTCTAATCTTGCCCTCTGCCGGCCCCTCCCTCGAGGACAATGTTGGGCTTATCTCCTCTTTCATTTGGGCCCGTCAATATTGACCCAACACCAGTCTCCTCACTCCTCCCTTTGCGTGACGCATCCAGGGCCAAAGTTGAATGGGATGAAATCCTCTGGAGAGGAGCCAGGCGGATTTAACACGAGTTACCTGAGAGAGGGCGAGGGGAAGAAAAGGGATCCCACAAGAAGCAGGATCATCCGGGGGGGGGGGCAGGACACAGGCGGATCCCTCCACCCGCCTGCCACGCCCGGAAGCTCCAGGGTGGGACAAAGGGCCTCCGTACCCCACCCAAGACCTGACCCCCTTGACATTTGCAACTGAGATGGACTGCCCTCCTCTTTATGTCTCTAAAAACCAGCCCGAGGGCCTCGCCAGCTGAGAGGCGCACCAGAAGGGTAGATAAATACGCCCTTGGCTACAACCCAAAGTTACCGGTCGTGTCGTCGTGTCACCGCCGTCTCCTCCCAGCAAGAGGGCAAGGTGACAACACCGCCTCAGGGGGTTGCTCTGGGAGGAAACGCAGGATACAGATCATATATCTAAGCAAAAACATGGGTCTGTATCAGGGTATCAAAAAAAGAGGGCAGGGCCATAGGGGTGTCCCCTTAAGAACTTATCCGCTCAGGCACCCAAATGTCTGAGCTTGTTAGAGGGCAAATTTAATCCTGTAATAAAATCTGTGCTTTTCTGAGTTAGGGAACATCAATTAGTCAAGTATTTGATACAACGCCTTTCAGCTTGACGGACACGCCTCTCTCCTGCCGCGGCAAACGACCCATAAGCAGGAACAAGAACAACGGGGGGGGGGATCTCCTCCGACACCCAGAGAGGCTGGAGGAGGAAGACCCTTGAGGGAACCCAAATCTCCTTAAGCAGGAAAAGGCTTTTCACTTCCAAAGGGTTCGTCAAGTCTAGAATTGGCAGCTTGTATCAAAAGGTCCGGCTCCAGGCATCAGGGACGTGACGGCGCTGGAGAATCTACCGGATGTTGGACTGCCGTTCCCATTCGCCTAGCCAACAGGGAACGGGGGATAGGAAACGTTGCTCGTCAAGAGAATTAACTCGCATTTGACCAACCCTTAGGAGCCGCTGTTCGGGGGTAGAGCTTCCTTGTGTTGCAAGAAGTCCCAGATTCGGCCCAAGCCTCTCGAGGCGGGCTAGGAAGAAACCCAGGGACCCTTTGCTGCCTGTCAACTTTGGGCGACAACACTGGCTTCCAACCTTCACCACCAGCGGTGCTGCTGGAGTATCTGGGAGTTGCAGTCCACAAACATCCGGGGCTCCCCAAGGTTGGGAACACATAGAAGACCACCGGATTTCCAGTCCTCCTCGTTTAGGAGCTGCAACTTAGGTGGTGCTGCCACCGCTGCTGACTGGGGTATTTCCAACTCGGCTGAATTTGTTCCAGAACGTATTAAAATTAGCAACAAATCCTCGGGGGGGGGGGATACCAAATGTTTCCAAACTATAAATGCAAATTGCAAAAACACTGGTTCCGAAAACATTGGGGATCAGGAAGTTATGCCGCTGGGTGGGGGGGAAGCTTTGGGTTCACCATCCAAAGAGGGCCACCCACCCCCCGCTTCCTCTTTCCGCTGCTTTTACGGGATAAACACCAGCTTGCCAAAGCAGGGCTCGGCAGGTGCAGGCACCGGGTAGCCCATGTGCTCAACCCAGCCCCAAGGATTGGGAGAAAGACGATTCAGAACAGGTACAGGTGAAAAGCAGGTACAGTACAGGGGAATAAAGGACAGAAGCTGTCATGCGAGAAGAGAAGGAGACAAATTATAGTCCCAGAGCGCTTGTGAGCTACGAGGCCAGCCCCTTCCTCAGGGGCTGAACAATGAAGTATTTTAGATCATCATTGTCTTAGAATGGCCAAGCTGGAAGGGATGCTACGGATCACGGATTCCAGCCCCTGCCAAGGAGCCCCCCCGCCCCCCAGGAGGGCAAATCGAACTCCCAACTTCTGACTCCACAGCCAGAGACCTAAACCACAGAGTTATCCCACTGCAGGCCGTGCAAAAGAGGAATTTTCCAAGCTTTGCTCTCACACACCTTGATTGTGTTGCTGTCTAATACAGTAGTGGGAGAATGGGATTCTGGAAGGGGGGGTTCGGTCTGCAAGCCCTTAGTCCCCTCCCTCACCTCGTATACTTCTTGAGAGAGCGAAACACCTCAAAAGAAATCGTAAACTTCCTAGGTAGCAACCAGGTGACTTCAGAACCAGGCACATCATGGACCTGAGAGAAGTCTTGCAGAAGGGCCACAGGAGAGAGAAAAACACGGCTTGACTCTCCCTCGAATGCAAAGCAAACCTAGTTGCGATTGCGGTTTTATTTTGTCTTCAGAACAACAAGGCGTGGGGACTCCCCCCCCCCTTTTATAATCCCTGTCGCCCTTTTGCTGATAACCTGTTCATTCCACCTAGGTGACATGTCTCCTCAAGGGATCTGGAGGCATAAATCTCTTCACCTGCAAGGGACATCTGTCAGCGCTCTCAGATGCTAGACATGCCATCCCCGAAGGCAGAATGGCCAGCCAGACAGGGCAAGCTTAAAGGGAACAAGTGGCTGCTTGTCTCCCCTGCACCTGTGACTTGCTCTTCCTCTCCAAACGGGCCTTCGAAGCAGACCTAATGCCTCAGCACATTTTCTGTGAACAGGGCAAGCTTGAAGGGAACAAGTGTCTGCTTGTCTGCCCTGCACTCTGTGACTTGCTTTTCCTCTCCAAACGGGCCTTCGAAACAGACCTAATGCCTCAGCACATTTTCTGTGCAAAACGCAGGCCAACGGAAAGCCAATTCCCATGCGTATCCCTTCCCTGCTTGATCCCGCACTCAACGAGCAATGACAGCCATCTGTGAATGATGAATCACATCCTGACTCAAGAGTTCATGCTTCTCCTGTCCTCAGGCAGAATGCTGGAGCCAGATATTACGGGATAGCACCCAGGTGAGAAATCCCACGGTATCACTATATCCATGAGCACGCACCATTTTTGCTGGTTGCACCAAATAAAACCACAGGCTGAACCACCGCTGGGATGAGCTGACCCTGTTTTGGTGAACCCCCATTCCGTTACCTTGATGTGATTTCCAAACTGCAAAGCTGCCACCAGACGCCTGGTGAAATCCTATTCCTGACCATGGGGGCATCAGAGTGAAGGCAGGGAAACCTCCGTGGGTTTGTGGGTCCCCACCTTTAAAACATGTAAATGCTTAGATAATACTTAAAACATAGCGATCTTGTTCAATCAGGAGTTAAACCAGCATCTGCGAACAAGCCGCTCGGTGGGACATGCTGATGAAAGTGCATTTTACAAGAATGCCATGGGCTGACTCATACGTTAGAAGAACAGTTTAAATGTTTGTGAACATCCTATTGCACCTTAGCGATTCAGCCAACAGCTAGAAGAGGCTGTACAAGAGGAGTAGCAGCTGTTAAAAGCTTACCTGCCCAGCTCTTCTCCAATTTCATATATATCCTCTACCTTCTGTTGTTTGAACACCGCCATGCTTGGACTCTTCATTGGTAGACGCAGTTTAATTCAGCTGATAAATTAAACAGAAACAGAGGTCAGCTTCATCTACCATCTTTCTGTGCTCAAGAAGCATCAACTACAACTTCTTACAAGAAGCGGGGGCATTCCGCATTGCCCCCAGTGCTCTGAAAACATCAGGCCAAAAGATGCTGCAACAGACAGAGAGCGTCCAAATGCACAGTGTTTACACGAGTTAATTAAAATGCCTCTCCCAACAAAAACAAAAGGGGGGGTGTTCCAAATGCCCAGGCGCCACATGATTCCAGCTCTGGAATTGTTTTTCTCTGACTGCTGTTTATAATCCATGAGATGTTATCTAGCTGTTCTGTTCCAAGAGTTGACAGGGCTAGGATTTTATATATATTGACTTATTTATTTATTTTATTGTTGCTAAACTGCAGCAGCAACCCCTTTGATTAATGACATCTACGTTGGCTTGGGCACATCCGTGAGAATGGGTGATAGTTGGATTCCAAAGGATCTCCTATATGGAGAATTAGTGCAGGGAACTCGCCCCAGAGGGAGACCACAGCTGCGATACAAGGACATCGGCAAGCAGGATCTGAAGGCCTTAGGAATAGACCTCAACAGATGGGAAACCTTGACATCTGAGCGTTCAGCCTGGAGGCAGGCGGTGCATCACGGCCTCTCCCAATTTGAAGAGACCCTTATCCAGCAGGCCGAGGCAAAGAGGAAGTCACAAAAGCAGCAAAATCAGGGAGCTGGACAGAACAGACTGGATTTGTCTTCAGTGTGGAAGGGATTGTCACTCTCGAATCGGCCTCCTCAGCCACACTAGATGCTGTTCCAAGTCCTCTAATACAGAGCATGTTACCATAGTCTTTCGAGAATGAAGGATGCCTAACTGCTAACTGCTAATATCAACAAGATACTTACACAGAACCTATTCACAACTTTGAATGTTCATTGCCAGTGTTAATAATGCTACTCTCACTCGCAAAATTTATTACCACTGTAGATTGCTACCCTCTTTTCCCCCATGTCTCTGTTGCTCTCCTTTCTGCTACCATGTTCTCTGTACATATAAACCAGTGCCTAACTATTACCCGCCCCCTGGGCATGGGTTTGAGGAAGTGGATTATAATCTGTAAAAGCGATTGCCAATGTTAATAATGCTACTCTCACTTGCAAAATTTATTACCACTGTAGATTGAGGAAGTGGATTATAATCTGTAAAAGCTCCCATTGAAATAAATCTGTTGATCTTTAAAACACTGTAATACTTTTCCTTTCCTTTCCTCCGTTTTGTTCAAATATATTTTGGGGGTGATGTAGTGCAAAAGGTGTTGAAAAGCTTCATATGGATTTCACAGGAATATTAACACATAAAAGATCCTGACCTGGCAGCTGTGTTTCTATGTGTCACAGTCATAAGGAACTGGAAAGTGGAAATAAGGAAACAACTTCAGCATCGTGGCGGACCGAGTGCCTGGCATCAACCTGAGAGCAGCAACGTGCAAGACTCCCAAGCATTTATATTCCCTCTGATTTCAAAACCCTTTGGCTTTGCAGCCAGAGAACTCAGCCACCGAGCCATCCAGTGGTTCTGCTAATCCTCGGAGCTGGAAGTGACCCAGTGGATCATCCAGCCCAGCCGGTCAAGGAGAAGCTAAGAACCTAAGAAGAAGCGCCCTGCTGGGTCAGGCCAAGGGCCCATCTATAGCCCAGCTCCCTGAATCTCCCAGTGGCCCCACCAGATGCCTCTGGGAGCCCACGAGACGACGAGATCCCTCTCTCCTGATCCCCCTCTTCCCCTGCCTCTGGCCTTTGGAGGTCCCTTCCTTTTAAGCCTGTCCATCCCCATCACCGCTTGTCACCTGCAATGGACTTTTCCTCCAGGAATCTGTCCAATCCCCTTTAAAAGGCATCCGGGCCAGATGCTGTCATCATATCCTATGGCAAAGAGTTCCAAAGATTAACAACACACTGGGTTAAGGAATATTTTCTTTGGTCTTTTCTCACTCTCCCCACACTCCACTGGAGTGGGCATCCCCTGACTCTGGTCTTGCATGAGAGGGAAAAGAGCTTCCCTCTATCCAAGGAGGCCCAGCGGGGAATTGAACTCCCAGCCTCCCGCTCCACAGCCAGCCAGCCAGCCAGGGGCCTAAACCACTGAGCTCTCCAGCCCTTCTCAGATGGAAGGAAGCAGGGTGAGCAGACTTAAGAGCGGCTCTAAGCAATGTAACAGACCTTTATCGGAGAACCGGTCTCCGATTTGCAGGCAGGTTTGGCTGGCTGTTCTGCTGGCTCCCTTCCCCGGGCCGGTTATTTTTTCAGAGGAGGCACAAAAGCATCTTCCCCGTCATATTTGCCTGAAGCTCACAGACACAGGAACAACCCTGAACAAACACGGAGCATTTACATAACCCTTCTTTTTGGAATCAGGTTGCCTCTGTGCCTGTTCTGGGCAACAGTAGAGACACATGGTGACGGGAGTCATTGGTTTTGGCTGAAACACACCCCCCCCCAAATGCCAGCCATCAGAGGAACTCTTTCCTCTGACCTGTCTGTCCAGGTTGGCCTTTCGGGGCAGGAGAATGGGATGGCACAGAGCTAGAACAAGTCCCATTTGAGGCGCTATAACTCCCAGAATAACACAGCCCCCCCTTGCCTCTGCAGGTCAATGTCTGGTAGGGCATTTTAGCATCTCTGGCTGGGATGTTCAACCTACATTTTAAAACTAGAGCTCTCTCCCCCCCCACCGTCGCCCCCCACTTCTAAAGAGTACAAGGAGGCTTAAATAAGATCTTTAACTCATTTGCATGGGCTCTGGGTCTCCTAGGCCGTGGGTGAGAGATCTATCCAAAATATGTAGGAGGGAAATCACGAGGTCTCTCCAACAGACACAGTTAATATGAGAGCAGGAAGGGAAGGCCCTGTGTTCCAGGAACGGAGCCCCATCGTCCCCAAATCAACTTCCTTTCCCAAGGACTTTATAATCTAATATCTAACCCTTGATAGATCTCTGCTTCCCTCAAGTTATAATAAGCCATTGTACATTTTCTCTGCGCGAGCCTTCTCTGACTTGGCTCCTTCCAGATGTGCGGGACCATGATCCCCATCAACCCCAACCAGCACAGCAAACGGTCATCCTCTCTGATGAAATGATGGGAGTTGTAATTAGGCACATCTAGAAGTGGCTCCAGGCTGAGGAGAGCCGCTTTACTGACTTCTCCCTCTTTTCCTTCTGAACGGGGAGAAGGAAAATGGACATACTAACTTGGAATCAGCTGGGGGGGGAGGAAAGGAAAACACGCAAATGAACAGCCAAAGAAGGAAACGAGAACCAATCCTTCACATCCTCAGAAGGTCCTTGGTCAAGACAAGCCAGAGGCAGAAGAAAAGCCGGAGATGAGACTCGTTGTTACCAGGAAAGGTGCCCTGAAGATGTGGCCGGGTTGTGGGTTAAGAAGAAAGAAAGGAAAAGCAGACGGGAGATGCTTGGATCAAGAAGACCAGCATGGGGAACTCTGCCCGGCTGTGCTCTCTTCCACCATCCCTCCGACACTGAAAGACCAATCCTCCAGTAATCCTACGTACTTGTTACACAGAATTCATAGAAGCCTCCACTCCCTGTGGATGCCAAGGGTGTTATTGTCCAGCAAGATGGCAACAGAAAGGGCAGCCCGGTAATTCTTTGCAGGAGGAGGATCTCAAAAGCTCCAGCAATTGTACTAAGGACCACCATCTCTATCTTTCACAACCACCCACCTAAATTTGGCCTGGCAGAAGAGCGACGTTTGCAAGGACCTCTGAAAGATCTGGAAGACTGAGATGCCCTCTCTCTCTCTCTCTCTCTGCTCAACACCTTTCCAACCACATCACACCGGCTGGCTGTCTCTCTGCCACCATCCACAGGAGACATTCCTAAACAGTGCTCACGGAAGAAAAACACTAGACCAGGCCGCGCCAGGGCTACCAACAGGCTCTCCCTCCAAGTGTGCCTCATCCCTTTAAAAAAGGAAAGGGCACTATTTAAGCGAGAGGCAAATGGAGTGGGTTTTTTTAGGTGGAGCCACCAGCCAGCAGGGGAAGCTCCAGAAGAGTAAGTGCACCCTAACGGTCAAGGCCATCCAGGGACCCATTGACTAACGAGCTGATGAAACTGGCCTGTTCTGTGCCAGGGATTCTTGTCGCTATTTAAGTGAGAGGCAAATAGAGTGTTTTTATTTATTTTTTTTTAGGTGGAGCCACCGGCCAGCAGGGGAAGCTCCAGAAGAGTAGGCGCACCCTAACGGCCAAGGCCATCCAGGGACCCATCGACTAACGAGCTGATGAAACCGGCCTGTTCTGTGCCAGGGATTCTTGTCGCCCCCCCCCCGCCCAGGCCGAGGGTCACACGCTGGCAAGAGGCCGGCCACCAGCTGCTGCGAGGTCATCTCTGTTGAGGGCGACGGCCTCACAACGGCTTCTGCTGCTTCCCCTTCCCTTTTAAGCACTCCCGGCTCCCTGCTCAACTCCGCTGGGCAGCTAATTTGGGAACAAGGGGAACCAGCTAATGGACGAGATGTCGGCGGGGGCTGGAACAGATCCTCGCCATGGCCTGGGAGAGGGGCCGGAGAGCAGAGTGCGGCGGGATCAGGAATGCTTTGTAGGTTTGAAAGAGAAGATCGGGTTTTCCTGCTCTCCCATCTTCCGGCAAGGTGGAGGGACGCTTTCAGATGGAACCCAACCCCCCTGCCATTTCCTGGAGAGAGACACTGGGGAGTCTACCAGGGTGCAGGGTGTCCCCAAACAGGCATGAGCCAGGATGGACGCTGCAGGCCCTCAGCTCCGGGTCTTCTCCTCCCTCCTGGCCTCTCCCCACCTGCCTGCCTGCCTGCGGGGGGGGGGTTCCACAACACCTTGCCCAGGGATGAAGCCAGCTGAAGACCTGAAAGGCTTCTGTGCTTTTTTTGATGCAAGTATCAGCAGAAGACAGAGGACAGACAGAGACAGCCCAGCAACTGTGTGAACCTCTGGCATGACAGAGGCCCCATTCAAGCTTTCTTCCTGTGGGTACAATGGACACGGGGGGGGGGGGGGGGCAAGGGCTGGCATGCTGGCTCTCCCCCCCCATCTGTCACCATCCGTCTTGCCACCTTCTTGCAATGGAAAGCAAACTGCTGCCTGTTCCTGGCAGCCTTAATTAATTAAAGGGAAGGAGCCACCCGCCTCTGGGCTGTGCCCAGCCATCGGGATCTGCCATGGCAGTGATCCTGCATCCACTTACATTGCCCACTGGCAACCTTCTGCTACTTACTCCGGCTTCTTTGGTTACAAGCAGGAACTACACAAGCAGGCAGCTCAGCTTCGTTAAGGTGAGCCCCCCCCCAAAGAACAAAATGAGTTTAATCTTCCTTTCTTGGAGCCAGGGTCTGAGCAGAGCTGACTGGGAAGGAGCCACATCCAGAGCATTTATCTTTCCCTCTAATTTGAGATTAGCAAATTATCTTTTTCCTAGATCTTATTATACAAGTGGTTGAATCGGGCAATGCACATGTAGTTTTATGAATGTTGGCAATCAGAGTTGCTGATTGACCTACCGTGCACTTTGCTCTTATTCAAACTTCTGAAATATCTTAGGCAAATGAAAATGTTACTTAGTATTATATATCGTAGATGATGATGTATTAATGCGATATTAATCTCTTACTGTTGTAGTAACTGAAACCATGTTATTTTTACCGGTGTACTACTTTCAGGATAATATATTTTGGAAAATGGAAGTGTACAAATAAATCATATCTCAACAGCACAGCTTGGAAATTTACTTTTTAAAGATAACCATTCCCCTTATTTGTAAACAGTGTTTGAAGATGGAACTTTTATAATGACTAAGTGCACTCGTAGAAAGTGGCGTTTTTTGCATTATTTCTTTTCCTCTCATTACTTTTTTTTTGTTATTTTCCTTTCCTAAAAAAATTAGGATTAATAATAGAATGGCATAAAATATGAAGAATCCCTGTCCATTTGATTCTGTAATGTTCCTTTTAAAACTAACTTTTGAAACTGGAAGAGTTACTTCTTAAACCAATAAAGTAACTGATTAAACTCACGACATTGCAATTGAAATAGAACTGTGTTACCCCTTCAACATTCCAACATGTAACGAGTTGCAGGTAATTATCAGGTGTTACTTCCAAAGGTTGGACCAGAGCAGAATCAGGGGAAAAACAACCTCAGAGAGAGAGAGAGAGAGAGAAACAAAGC